TATATATATTATAAAATATTTTATATATATATTATATATATAATATTTATATTAATATATATATATTATAATTTATATATATATTAATATATTTATATATATATATATATATATATTATATATATATATACATTTATTATATATATATATATATATATATTATATTTTATATATATTTTTATATTATATATATATATATATCCCAGTTTAAGTTTTAGCATTAAATTATAAACGAAATTAGTAACTTAAGTGGTTAGTGACCTGACAGCTAATACTTATATAATTTTAGAAGCGCTAAACCCTGTTAGGGTCTCAGTACAAGTGCTTCCGGAGGCTCTATCTTCTGTCCGGTAACAGCAGCCTAGTGTTGGATCAACCAGGCTCGTGGTACATAACGGAATAAAAAGCGCGAATGGCAGCTGGTACTTACACTTCTGCACCTTAGCCACGATAGAGTTGGATGGCTTGCTGGGTTTGCCAGGACCTGCCTCGTTGACAGCAATGATACGGAACTCGTAGCGGCTGCCTTCAGATAGTCCCTGGACTGTGTACTGCGTGTTGGGCGTCGGGTAGTGATTCACCTGTAACACCAGTACTGTTCACTCTTCACCCTCTCTCGAAGCTAGCGGTGTGTGTGTGTGTGTGTGTGTGTGTGTGTGTGTGTGTGTGTGTGTGTGTGTGTGTGTGTGTAATAAGTTAGCAACATGGACTCTGCTCTTACTAACTGGTCTGTCTGGGAGAATTTTTTTGTGTAAACAAAGCGAAACATTATTATTATTTTTGGCTTTAACTAGCACTGTTTTTTATAAATATATAACAATATTTGGAGGAGGAGATGGGAGAGGGGAAGAGGAAAATCTGAGGAGTTGGAAGTATGAGGTATTAGGAAAGAGGATATAGGAGAAGATGAAGAGGAAGAACTGGTAAGGAGGTGGAGGAGGTATGAGAGAAGGAAGAAGGAATATTACGAAAAATTATAGAACAGAAACGGGAAATGGAAATGACAAGTAGGCAAGATTAATGAAGAATAGGAGATGATGACTGTGAAAACGAGAGGAAAAGTGAAGAAGGAAGAGGTAGAAGGAAAAGGAAAGGCATCGACGGAAGGATAAGAACGAACTGAAGGAAGGAAGCAAGCAAAAAAAAAGTATAATGATAAGGATGAGAAAAGAAATATATATATATATATATATATATATATATATTTATTTATTATATATATATATATATATATATATATATATATATATTTATATATATATATATATAATGTGTGTGTGTGTGTAAAAGAAGAATTAGTTCCTCTTACCCTTATCCAATCACCGCCACGCTCACGCTTCTCGATAATATAGCCTGTGATGGGTCGTCCGCCTGTGTTGGTCGGAGGCTTCCATTCCAGAGAGCAGGTGGACGGGCTGTAGCCGGTGATGTCTGGACGCTCTGGCGCATCCGGAGGGTCAAATGGATTCTTGGCCTCCACTGGCTTGCCCTCCAGCGGCTCCGACACGCCGTACATGTTCTCGGCACGCACGCGGAACCGGTACTTCTTACCCTCCTCCAAACCCTGTTAGTGGCCACGGAAAGGGAATTATGAGGCGGCGCTGACAATGTATGCAAGAAAAATGAGGTCAGACTCAGGAAATATTTTATTTTATGCCTTTATACTGACTTATATCTAATATATATTTAAATAATGTTTTTGGAATTCAATAAAAATATACTTGACAGTGATTTTTAACAATCACCTCAAAATTTTTCTCTGTCTCCTAATGTTTTCTCAGTCTATAATCTATATTAAGCCATTTTAGACATATACCTTACATGGCACTAAATATCCAACATTCACTTCTCACTTCACATTCTCAGTATATTCAGTCTTTCTGGATTAACAGCAATTTTAATTTTTAACATTACTAAACAAAAATTCCTTCCAGTTAACCGTTAAAAAATAATTAATAACATCACCGGAGCCGATGCAGGTTCCTTTTTTATCGGCCTCCATCAGTGTTAGTGTAAACATTTCTTTCAAATATTTATAATTTTCAAATTATATCGTTGCGACGAACGCTATCTAAAACTTTCTCGAAATACAAATAAATACAATTTCGTTTTCTATTATTTCTCTAACTGTATCATGAATCCTTTATAAAATAAATATACATAGTTTTGTACAGTACGGATATCAACACAGTCACGGAAGCCGGTGATTATGAAGCAAAGAATGTATTGTCTCCTGAAGCACTGGCCAGTGCCATGGTGGTGTGGCGGACAAGGCTTCAGGTTTCAGTTTGATTGCTAATGGATGGTCGAGACTCCTGGGTTCGAATCCAGATCAACCGAAGTATGTTTGCTTCATAACCACGATTTTCCGTAGTTGAATTGATATTTACCTTGACGGTGAAGTTGCACTTGGGGCAGTAGCCAGGCACCACCTTCCAGATGTCGTAGTTACCCTCTGCTTTTTCAACCACGTAGCCGGTAACCTCGGCACCTCCATTATCCTGGGGTGGCTTCCAGGAGAGCGAGATAGTGTGGGCTGTCACATCCGTCGGCGTCAGCGGGCCGAGAGGAGGACCTGGCTTGTCCACTACGATGACCTGTATATGACAGGAAACATATTACCGTGATAAAAAGATGCCATTTTAAAGATATATAGACTAAGTGCTTTAAAAGTGACTTAATAACAATATAATCAGTAAATATTTACTTACAAAAATGCCGATACAATTATTTTTGCAACGAAGCTCAACATACTGTATGATAGAAAGAGACAGAAATTGATATCATGAATGAAGTGATATGTTGATATGTGGTATGTTGATGCTGCACTCTTGGTGTCGGCAAGTGTATGCGATGTAAAACGTTGGGGTAACACTAACCTCGATGTTGGCGGAGTCCTTGCCGTAAGGGTTTTCGGCAGCAATGGTATAAGTACCGGAGTCTTCCCTGCGAGACTTGTCCACGAAGAGACGACAATGGTCGGGGGTAGTCTCCATCTGACAAACACACAAAATGGTTTCATTATTTAGGTGCTTTTGAGAATTTTCTTTGACATTTTAAGTTGCTAATAATGATTTTAAAAGCGAGTAAGGATTCTGAAGGCTTACCTATTTTATAGTGTACATTCTATTTAGTATATAAATTTATCAAACCTGAAAGCTTCTCATAAAAATCCTATAAAGAGAACTATATATAATTGATATGTGTGCCAACAAACTGAAAATAGTTAGTGTTTCGCCATATCTGTTTTGAAAATGAATGTAAATAGAAATGCAGTGTGCTTTCATTTGTGAAAACATAATGCAGTTCAACAGAGGCCTTACCCTGGCCCATAAAAATGCATATTATTCTAGGTGAGTAGTCAGCGAGTCTGCATCGCTATTAAAAGAAGAATGATTAAGCTCCATCAAGATGTGAATGACCCGAGGCTTCAAATTGGCAACATTTGATCAGTTTTGTCAAAAAGATGAAAAATACAGAAAGAGAATAAGTCATAAGAAAAGATTCACATTGAGTATAGCATCGTGAACAGGTGGATCATTTTTGACATTCGTTATTTCCCAGCAGAAACCATATCCACCCTCCATTAAAAAAAAACAGTATTTGCATCTTGCACTCTACGAAGAGATGCTTCTTCATCCTGGGTCAAAACCGGCACTCCTATCCTTATTTAGCTAGAAAACCTCTCTGCCCCACAGTGAACCAAACACTAACCGAGGTCCTCTTGCTGGGCTCTATCTTCTTGTTCTGCTTGGACCACTCGCAGGCTGGTTGTGGAGCACCAGAGAGCGGGATCTTGATATCGATGGGCTCGCCAGCACGCACCTTCAACTTCTTGCCCAGGAGACCGTCCAGATACAACTTGGGAGCCTCTGTCATGGTAATATTGCATTGGTCAGTACCACAATAGGCTAGTATGAGTTAGTGGAACTGATTAAGATAATTATTTGTGTAGCTTGTGGGTGTGAGGGCTTCATTTGCTCTAAGAGGATATGTGTGGGGTCAGCCTTTGCTAATTTGCCGGTGTATGGGTATGATTTGTGTTACACTGCAAGTGTGGGCATGATCTGTAGTACATTCCGAGTGTGTGGGTATGGTTTATGCTACATGGCAGGTGTGAGAGTGTGGCTTGCGATACTTTGCGGGTGTGCGACCATGATATATACTACAATTCACATCTCAGGGACTGGTTTCCGCTACATTGTGGGTATGGGGGTGAGGAAATGGTTTGTGTAATTTTGTGGGAGTGACTTGCTGGAGTATGGAAGCGACTTCCATTATTTTGAAGGTACGTGCAAGAAAGGTAGGCTGGGTTGTCGGTGTGTGAGAGTACCTTGTGCTATCTTACAGGTGTGTTAAGTAATGTAGGCTGTTTTGCTGGTGTGTTAATGTGATGTAGTATGTATGTGATGTAGAATGTATGGTGTATGGGTGTGGTGCTGGTATACGGAAGTGATACAGAATGTGTCACTGATGAATGAATACATTGTAGAATGTGTTGCTGGTGAATGAATGCAGTGTAGAATGTGTTGCTTGTATATGGACGTAGTGTGGGTTGTGTTGCTGATGTATGGCAGTGGTGTAGGTTGTGTTGCTGGTGTATGGATGTAGTGTGGGTTGTGTTGCTGGTGTATGGATGTAGTGGGTTCTGTTGTGGTGTATGGATGTAGTGGGGGTTTTGTGTTGCTGGTGTGTGGATGTAGTGTGGGTTGTGTTGCTGGTGTATGGATGTAGTGGGTTCTGTTGTGGTGTATGGATGTAGTGTGGGTTGTGTTGCAGGTGCGTGGATGTAGTGTGGGTTGTGTTGCAGGTGTGTGGATGTAGTGTGGGTTGTGTAGCTGGTGTATGGATGTAGTGTGGGTTGTGTTGCTGGTGTAAAGATGTAGTGTGGGTTGTGTTGCTGGTGTATGGATGTAGTGTGGGTTGTGTTGCAGGTGCGTGGATGTAGTGTGGGTTGTGTTGCAGGTGTGTGGATGTAGTGTGGGTTGTGTAGCTGGTGTATGGATGTAGTGTGGGTTGTGTTGCTGGTGTATGCAAGAAGTTTGGGTTGTGTTGCTGGTGTTTAGAAGTAGTTTGGGTTGTATTGCTGGTGTATGGATGTAGTGAGAATTGTGTTGCTGGTGTTTAGAAGTAGTTTGGGTTGTGTTACTAGTGTATGGATGTAGTTTGGGTTGTGTTGCTGGTGTATGTAAGTAGTTTGGGTTGTGTTGCTGGTGTATGGTGTAGGGGGATTACCAACAGACCCCTGGCAGTCTTCAAGCTGGCACTGGACAAGCACCTAAAGTCAGTTCCTGATCAGCCGGGCTGTGGCTCGTACGTTGGTTTGCGTGCAGCCAGCAGCAACAGCCTGGTTGATCAGGCGCTGATCCACCAGGAGGCCTGGTCACAGACCGGGCCGCGGGGGCGTTGACCCCCGAAACTCTCTCCAGGTAAACTCCAGGTATGGATGTAGTGTGGGTTATGTTGCTGGTGCATGATGTGTGGGTTGTGTTGCTGGTGTATGGATGAAGTGTGGGTTGTGTAGCTGGTGTATGGATGTACTGCGGGTTGTGTTGCTGGTGTATGGATGTAGTGTGAGTTGTGTAGCTGGTGTATGGATGTACTGTGGGTTGTGTTGCTGGTGTATGGATGTACTGTGGGTTGTGTAGCTGGTGTATGGATGATGTGTGAGTTGTGTTGCTGGTGTATGGATGTAATGTGGGTTGTATTGCTGGTGTATGGATGATGTGTGAGTTGTGTTGCTGGTGTATGGATGATGTGTAGGTTGTGTAGCTTGTGTATGGATGAAGGGTGGGTTGTGTTGCTGGTGTATGGATGTAGTGTGGGTTGTGTTGCTGGTGTATGAAGTGTGAGTTGTGTTGGTCGGGTATGGATGATGTGTGGGTTGTGTTGCTGATGTATGGATGTAGCGTGGGTTGTGTTGCTGGTGTATGAAGTGTGAGTTGTGTTGCTGGTGTATGGATGTAGTGTGAGTTGTGTTGCTGGTGTATGAAGTGTGGGTTGTGTTGCTGGTGTATGAAGTGTGGGTTGTGTTGCTGGTGTATGGATGTAGTGTGGGTTGTGTTGCTGGTGTATGAAGTGTGGGTGTGTTGCTGGTGTATGGATGTAAGTGTGGGTTGTGTTGCTGGTGTATGGATGTAGTGTGGGTTGTGTTGCTGGTGTATGAAGTGTGGGTTGTGTTGCTGGTGTATAGATTAGTGTGGGTTGTGTTGCTGGTGTATGGATGTAGTGTGGGTTGTGTTGCTGGTGTATGAAGTGTGGGTTGTGTTGCTGATGTATGGAAGTGGTGTAGGTCGTGGAACTGTTTCAGATGCACTGATTATGTAGCATGCTACAGATGTTATAGTATGTTTGCTGAAGAATGCTACAGTGTGTTGGTGTGAGTTGTGAAGCAAACGTCAGAGCTCATGACTTACGTGGTAAGGGATGCGTGTCATATGACAGATGTCATGCTACGAGTTATTAGCCATGCGATATATGTCATGACAGATTATGAAGCATACATAAGAACATAAGAAATGAGGAACACTGCAATAGGCTTGTTGGCCCATACTAGGCAGGTCCTTCTCAAATCCAACTCACTAACATGACGTATATGATGTGGGTAATAAAGCATCTTACACACGTTATGATATGGATGTTGTAGCATACTACAGATGTTTTGGTATGGATATTAAAGCATAATCAATGTCAAATTACTGATTATGCAGCGTACCACAGATGTCATGATATTTGTTGTGAAGCATATTGCAGATGCAGAATTCAACAAATTATCTGGGGTTTGTTGACAATTATCATGTTTTGCTGATTTATGGATGAAGAATAATGACAATGGGTTTTCGGCTAATTTGTAGATAAAAATAGATTTTTTTAATTTTGGATTTATAAATGAGAGCAGACATGTTTCATATCAATGGTATACAATACCTACAAGAAGTAAATATAACTAGATGTTGCACAAGTGTCTAATTAATCAGAATAGATGTGATTTATATTTAAAAGTGAGTTTTTCTTGCTCAATAAACTTGTTGGTTGAGGGAATCAAGGGTGATTTACTCACCGCGCATTGGCTTGGCAGTGATAGCCTGTGAAGGTTCTGAGGGGTTAGATGGGCCCATCTTGTTGTTGGCAATAACTCGGTATTGGTACTGCTCGCCCTCGTTGACGGTGTCGTCCACGAACTCTGGGGTGCGCACGGGGTCACGGTTGACCTTCTTCCAGCGGCCAGAGTGGATGCCGCAGCGCTCAACATCGTAGCCTGTGATTGGAGAACCTCCAGTGGAGCGGGGAGGAGCCCACGAGATCTTGATGAAGTCCTTATCAGAGTCTGTGCAGGTTGGACGGCCAGGAGCCCCAGGCACATCTGTGAGAACCAGAGACCATTGATCAACCATCTTGAAGATGAGAGTTTCTCCAGGCTATTAAAAGTCAATTCAGCTGGTTGATCCAAAGTAAAGCAATCATTCATCTCAATAAAGAAAATGTACTGTCATCATCACCCGACACAAAATACCGCTACGCGATTCTGACCAGAAGAAACAGTAGGTCAGCAAGAAGAGGCGATTAAACTACAAATTAGGCAAAGACTAACCTGCTGAAGACTTGGCAGTAACAGGTTTGTCCGACTCGAGAGGTTCACCACGACCCTGCATGTTCTCTGCCCTCACACGGAACTCATACTGGGTTCCCTCTAGCAAGCGCGGTACTGTTGCGTGGTTCTGCTTGGGATCCACCCAGTTGACTGCTGGCACCCAGCCTCCGCCATGCGAGATGTCCCGCTTCTCAATGACGTAGCCGCTGGTGAAAAAGAAACGGAATGAATATTTTAGGGCATCTGGTGCCGATGCAGCATTTCTTGGATTCAAATATTTAATTTATTACCGTTTATCTCTGATCTGGACCAATTATTGGTTATTTAATTTGATGTGTTTTGTTTTTCTTTGTCATTTAACAGGAAACGGAGAAACTTTGGTGAGGAAAGAACAGATATATTATAATATTCACAAAATGTGATAAACCCGAGTGGGTGTCACCGTCAAGGGCAGAAGCGTACAAGGCCAAAGGAGGTAACCATAGTTTCCGTCAAGAAGTGACGGAGTCTGCATAAAAGATTGTCGGGTAGGTGGGCAGCTGTAATGAGAGCATCAGTGCGCTGGAGGATTACTATAATCGGTGGCATCATATTACCGTAAGGTATGTAATATCGACGTGATGATGGGGGTGCAGGGCTAAATCCAGCAAGGTAATACAACTCTTAGAGAGTGGGAAGCAAGAATCCTTGGCCAGGATCAGGTCAATTCCCTTTAAGGAAGCGCCATGAAGATGTCAAATTTTATATCTACGCAGATGATGGCAAGCAGACTTACAACTTTAATATAAGAGCACAAGTAGAATATGATACAGCCGCTCTATTGACCCCTACGGGTTTAGCTCTTCCCATAATAATAATAACACTACTACTACTACTAATAATAATAATACAAAGTATATAATGAACGAGTGACTCACGTGATGGGGCTGCCACCATCGTCAACCGGCGGTTTCCAGGACATGACTACGCTATTAGCCTGCACCTCCTCGTACACCAGAGGACCCTCGGGTTTTCCAGGTGTGTCCAACACAACTACCTGGAAGGTGCCTTCATCCTGACCACTCTCGTTCTTCACCCGAATGCGGTACTCGCCAGAGTCATTGCGCATAGTGTTGACTGTGTGCAAGACGCTGTGGTTGTTGATGGCAGTGATGGTAGTTCGCACATCAATCTGTAGCTCCTTATCATCACTGAACCAAAATACGTCAGGCTGTGGTTCACCGATGTAATCCACGTCAACGTGAAGGACCTGGCCAGCCTTGATGCGCACGTCATACAGGGGACCAAGAATCTTGGGTGCAACTGTAGGGATATTATTTTGAATCAAATTATATGGATATATAGTAAGTTGCCGTCATGAATATTCAGATATGAATTATTTATAAGGAAAAAATAATAATACTCACGGTGCCTTGGCCTGCAAATGACAGCGTCTGAGGGTTCAGATGGTTCAGAGTTTCCGACTTTGTTGACGGCAACAACCCTAAATTCATATTCCTGCCCCTCTGTAAGATTAGGCACTGTGCCCTTGGTCTCAGGGCCAGTGACACGTGCTGCTGTCTGCCAGTATGGTGAGCCACGTTCTTTCTTCTGAATAAGATATCCAGTGATGGGTGCACCACCATCGTTAGTCGGGGGCGTCCATTCCAAGTCCACATGATCACTGTCCCAGTCCACCACGTTGGGGCGACCGGGCGGACTTGGCTCGTCTGCCAACAAAATAAGCGTCAGGAAATGCAACATTTATTTATTTTATTATTATTAATTATTATTATTATTATTATTATTATCAATACTTGGAAATCACTAAATCTGTATGGGTCATGCATCAGGAAGTGCAAGAGATGGAAACTGTGGTGTAGTTATCAGATATTTTTTGATCGTGATCGTCTAAGAACTCATATATACTAAAATACTCACCCTGGGCATTCTTGGCAATGATACTCTTAGGAGTACACAAAGGTTCAGACTCGCCAATAGCGTTGACAGCCTTGACACGGAAGTGATACTCCTTCATGTGGACGAGTCCATGAACGTCAGCCATCAGACCTGCCACCTCAGCTGCCTCGGTCCATGTACCACGAGACACATCCATCTTCTCAACCAGGTAGTGCAGGATGGGAGAGCCGCCGTCATCACTGGGAGTTTTGAAGGAGACTTTGCAGCTCTCTCGGGTGACGTCATACACGTTCAGTGGGCCCTCAGGAGGAGAAGGTCGGTCAAGAACGATCACGGTACCTGAAGCAGACACTTTGCCAAGGTCATTTTCCAGCGTCAAAGTGTAGCGGCCACTGTCAGTGCGCTGGGCGAAGGGAATGTCCAGGATTGTCTGCTTACCGTAGGTCTGCAGGTCCACTCGTTCTGACTCCACAACAGGTGAACCATTGACGGTCCATGATACCTTGGGTCTTGGGGCTCCGCGGATTGGTATTGTGTAGTTAAGGCGCGTGTTAACCTTGATGATAAGATCCCCAAGGTCTTTTGTGTCTATACCGGGCTTCTCAAATCGAGCCTTGCAGACAACTGGCTGTGAGGAATCTGAAGGATCAGAGTTTCCTGCCTTATTAACTGCAATCACACGGAACTGATACTCCTCACCTTCAGTAAGATCAGGTACAGAGGCCTTGGGCCCGTGTTTTGCTGGTAACTCAAGAGCCTTCTCCCAGGGTCCAAACCTCTTCTTCTTCTCGACTATCCATCCTGTAATGGGGGCACCACCGTCAGAACGAGGTTCCGTCCATTGGAGATCGACACGATCCTTGTCCCAGTCCATAACCTCTGGTGTGCCAGGTTTGGTAGGTTTGCTGTAAGGATCCTTTGCGGTGATAGTGTCTACGCCAGTGCATGGTGGACCCTGACCTTGGCGATTAACAGCCGACACACGGAACTTATAGTCGTGATCTTCAATAAGGTTGTCAACGTCGAAGCTTGTACCCTTGACTTCTCCACACGGTACCCAGCGATAAGTTTCCATATCCATCTTCTCGACAACGTAGCTAGTGATATCGGAGCCTCCGTCATCCTTGGGTGGCTTCCAAGCGATAGAGCAACCACTGCGGTTGACGTTTGAGTACTTAATCGGTCCTTCAGGGGCGCCAGGCACGTCAAGCACAGTGATGTTGACGGTACAGGTGTCCTCACCATTCTTGTTACGAGCGTTCAGTGTGAATGCTCCACTGTCTGAACGCTTGCAATCAGTGATCTTGATTGTTGTCATGTAATCCTCGTTGATGATGGAAAGACGATCACTGGGGTAGAGGTCGTTGTCCCTGACTCTCCATTGTTTGGTGGCGGGAGGTTCGCCTACCACCGGCACTGGCAAGTTCAAGTTATCTCCGGCCTTGACCTTCACATCCATCATGGCATTGCGGTCAATGCGAGGAGGAACTGAAAATTGAACATATCATACATAAAGTATATTCGAAAAGGAGCTAAAAATGCAGAATTTCATTGGCGTATATTTCAAACAAATTTGACAATGCCTATGTAAATAAAGCGATACAGTGTCTTTGCCATGTATTATGGAGTAGGTGAGAACAGAAAAGGAATAGACTTCAAGAAATCGCTAATAGACATTAATCATAGGGGCGTTAGGAACTAGTTCGTCAGTTTCCTGAAAGCAGGAAAATGGAATTTACTGGAATATGAAATAGTAAAGACAAACTTTGTTGTCTAAAGACACCTGATTCCTAAACAGTTTTCGTCCACGACCCAAAATATCACATTCGCCTCCCGACCCAAAACAGCACCTGTACCTACTTAGCACTCAAGCAAATTATAGATAAGTGAAAAATGAAACTGGTAAGACTAGTTACAAATTTGACTACAAAAGAAATATTGGAGAGAACATTTTTTAAATTAAACAAATCCCCTTAATTACAAACTGAAGTTTGTGAGAAGTATCTAGTTGCAAACTTATGAATACAGTAATTCACTCTAAGAACAAATGTTCCTCTATATACTTGAGTACTTTCATCAGAATAACGTTTAACAGATTCTCGTAAATATGAGTTAAAGTAGATTCCTAATACAGTGAACCCCGGTTAACGATATTTTTTCACTCCAGAAGTATGTTCAGGTGCCAGTACTGACCGAATTTGTTCCCATAAGGAATATTGTGAAGTAGATTAGTCCATTTCAGACCCCCAAACATACACGTACAAACGCACTTACATAAATACACTTACATAATTGGTCGCATTCGGAGGTAATCGTTATGCGGGGGTCCACTAATATATACACTAAGAGATATATAGACCGTTCAGCATATAAACTCTCATAAATATACATAATATGGCTTTAGAAACGAAAAAGCATTAACGCCGATGGACGAAACTTAAAAGTTCAGGTGAAGAACCGAGGCTCGACCCCTGCAACAATAAACCATCCAGGATAAATCTACGAGTACAGTAAGACAATCTCATGAATGCAAAATTAAGAAATAAAAATGAGTAAGAAAATTGGAAAATGAATGCTAGAAGTTAGGGCTGAGGTGTGTGTGTGTGTGTGTGTGTGTGTGTGTGTCTAAAACACACACACACACACACACACACACACACCTACTTCTACACACACAAAATAGTATCTCACCAAGCAAAGTGTCTATCGACAAATGCATTTAACAACTAGCAACTACAATATATGGGAGTGGACGTGTCAGCAGATGGGTCTATGAAAGACGAAGTGAACCATAGAATTGATAAAGGGAAAAAGGTGAGTGGTGCACTGGGGAGTCTGTGGAGACATAGAACGTTCCTTATCCATGAAGGCAAAAAGTGGAGTGTGTGAGAGTATAGTGATACCAAAACTCTTATATGGGTGTGAAGCATGGGCTGAGAATGTTGCAGCGAGGAGAAGGCTGGAGGCAGTGGAAATGTCGTGTCTGAGGGCAATGTGTGGTGTGACTGTTATGCAGAGAATCCGTAGCTTAGAGATCAGGAGGTTCAGAGTTACTAAAACTACTATTCAGAGGGCTAAAGAGCGGTTTTAGAAGTGGTTTGGACATTTAGAAAGGCTGGAACAAAACAGGATGACCTGGAGTGCGTATAAATCTGTAGTGGAAGGAAACGGGTTAGAGGTGGTTCTAGGAAAGGTAGGAGGGATGGGGTAAATTAGGTTATGTGTGTGCACGAGGCTTAGACATCCAGGAAGTATTTCAGATAGGAGTGAGTAAAGACAAGTGGTTTTTATGACTTGACGTGCTGTTGGAGTGTGAGCAAGGTAACATTTATGAAGGGATTCAGGGAAACCGGTTGGCCAGACTTGAGTCGTGGAGGTGGGAAGTACAGTGTCTGCACTCTGAAGGAGAGGTAGAGATACGTTGCTGTTTTTGAACTGTAGTATTGACATGCCTGTGGCAAGACAGTGACGGAGTGATGATGAAAGTGTTTCTTCTTTTTCGGGTCACCCTGCAAGTGGCAGCAAGGATTTAGTTGAGAAACAAGAGAGAGAGAGGAAGAGAGAAGCGTGCACTTACGATTCTTGGGTCTGGCGACGTGCGGCTTGGTAGGTTCAGACGGCTCACCCGGACCAGCCTTGTTGACAGCCACGACGCGGAACTCATACACATTACCCTCGAGAAGGTCAGGGATGTGAGCCTTGCACTGGTCACCCTCCACAGTGGCGCACTTGTCCCACAGTGGGCTATTGTATACACCACAGAATTAACACATAACATACAGTACACTGAACAATATTTCAATAACACATTTCAAGTTTGTAGTATACAGATGATTTAAAATATTTTTAGCAAAATTAGTAAATAATTTAACTAAAACTGCTACAGAGATAGACGCAGTTTATACAGCAATAGATGTAATGTTTTAAATTTTTTTAAATAGGGCAATTTTTTGAAACGCAGTTCCTATACATGGAAATGCATCATGCACACATACATGACACCAGCTTAACAGGAAATTCTAAACAAATAACTCTAACATAATGAAAAGTCTCCGCAGGAAGCACATCAACATTCAGATTACATCATTAATTCCATCCGTGCATTGTTTCTATAGCAGAGATACAGACAAAAAGTGCGATGTTCCTGCAAATATTCCCAGAAAAAATCTGCATATTCACTGCGTTGGTTTTAATAAAAATTTATTGTAAAGAATATAACACTGACATCCCTAAATGAGATAAATATGGGTGAAATTCATATTTAACAAAGATGGATGATGGGATGTTAGATGCTTATATATATAAATATATATATATATATATATATATATATATTATAATATATATATATATATTATATATATATATATATATATATATATATAAGAAGGGTAGTTGTCTCATGCTCAAGTTTACAGCGCGGTGTTGTACAGTGTGACAGCCAAGACAGATAACATCAAGGTGATAGTATGATTTTACTAAAAGACTCATGCTGTCGGGATTCCATTGGAGCGCGTCCGTATTGCCTTGCAACATGCACAGTATGTAGCGAGTTGTACCAGTCTCGTGACTGCAGACGACAAAAAATTACATTTAAAACTAAACGCGTATTTTAATTCAATTTTTTGGAAAAATAATCATTATAAATATTGTGGCGGTATATTCATTTGTCTTTCTATATACAATAATGTAATTCTTCTTTGAATATTTCTGAACTTCTTCGGGAAAAGGTAATTATGCGATTAATTATCTTTAGGAATCTCTCCCAAAGCGTAAGTAAAGATACACAAGACACTTAAATACTTTACGAGTATCCTTCTTGTTCTTAAAGACTGGTAAGAGACCGGCCACAAGGCGTCCATGGAACACTTCACCAGCATCAATTTAATATAAAATTCTCAGCTTGAGATTAAATTCCTTGTTTAAAGACAAGTGAAACTTGTATAGGATAGAGAATATATTTTGATGATAAATCTTTTCTTTAGTAGTTGTCTTAAGTCTAAATAAGATTTGTTAAGAACTAAGGTGTTTTTTTAATGAATAATGTAACATAATATCTGTTGTTACAATGGTAATATTTGTGACTTAATACTAGCTTTTTAATAATGCTACAAAATTACACAACTGTGAAGTAACCATAATGAATTTAGTCCATATTGAATTTCGTTTTCCTAGATATAAACTCGTCTAGAATCTGCAAGTGAACGCAGCCACAGGACGTGTGAACGCAGCCACAGGATGTTTGAACGCAGCCACAGGATGTTTGAACGCAGCCACAGGATGTTTGAACCCAGCCACAGGATGTTTGAACGCAGCCACAGGATGAATATAAGAGGCCACAAGATCTGTTACGTTGCCACAGGTTTTGTGAACGCAGCCAAATTATGTGTGAACTCGACAACAGGATATGCAAATGCGGCAACGGGATGTGTGAACGCGATTAAATTATGTGAACGAGTCACATAATGTATGAACGCAATGTGAACATTTCAAGCAAATTAATATGTAACTACTGGCAACCACATATATACTCGTAGGTTTGTTTTACCTCCTCCCTTCAATGTCGAGTTTTAAAAAAATATCGTATCTGGAAATGCATAAGAAAATCAGGAGTCAGAAATGTGGTCATCAGAGGTCAATATTTATGTCTTTTGTTGTCCTCAGAACTAATTTATTATTGGTTAATTCTTAATTTTACAAGTATTTCTTTTACTGCTTCTAATATAAATTTACTAATTCCTAATTGAAACAGGTAAAATACCAAATTTATCCCACACTGGAAACTATGATACCTTAAGACAGGAAATAACTTGTGGAAAATACTGTATATATTTTCCAGAAATACAGTAGTTATATGTAAATAGATGACCATACTGTATTTAATAATATTTATGTCATAGAAAATGGGAAACTGAGCCTGCGCCTGCACAGAAGGACAGTCGCCATTTTTGCTTGAATTAGAATAACAGACGTTTGTTAATAATGGGAAGAATTTTCGTGCTCTAGAGGTTAAAATTGGGTTGACACCTCTCAAATAGGAGGCGAAATTGTTGGGTGTGCATTCCTGCATAACTTGAGATATCAGGCGACAGGACAGGACAACTCCAGGAACCTCAGATAAGCTGTCTAATTTATGTTTAAATTCTGGCCAGTAAATTTTTCATAAATGTAGGCAAAAGGGGGGTCCTGTACATGACACATTAATCTCCAGTCAAATTGGTGAGTGTTATGATTAAGATATATTCTCCTTCTGTTATATGTATGTATATATATATAATCCTTTTTTAATTTTAATATACAGTCCACAAATTTATATATTTACCAGCATTCCTGGTGATGTATATTTCATTTAATTAATAGGTCCAGAGCAACTTGTGGATATGACAGTGGTAGGTATCGAAGGGGGACATTTTTTGCGACCTAGGTGTCCCAAATTCCTACTTGTCTAACTGATAAATAATAATTATCTTTATTCATTTACTGTTATGTACATAATGATACATTCGGATAAATGCAATTTTCCACATAACTCACTAAAATTTAAAACCCTTCTTTTTAATGTTTCCTTGTTAAATGTACGTATTCAGAAAAAAATATGGGCTTCATGAAGCACTATGAGTCCCATCTTAAAGATTTTTGGTACTTGTGCTTCAAAAAAATTCTCCCTTACCAAAACAGTCAGTAAATAAACAAGCTAATGTATCTTAAGAACTCCGGCGAGCACAGCTACCTGGAGGGCATTCCGGGGGTCAACGCCCCCGCGGCCCCGGTCCATGACCAGGCCGCTAAACTGACAAAATAAACTAATGAATCAAAACGAGATTTTACAATTACCAGTTGTTAATTTTATAATGTCTAAGTATTTTATTCTCGATCACCTGCTGATGTAATATTTTACAGTGTTTGATTATCGTGGTTTCTGTCTCACCGTCGTCACTCACGTCACCGTCGTCACTCACGTCACCGTCGTCACTCACGTCACCGTCGTCACTCACGTCACCGTCGTCACTCACGTCACCGTCCATCTGCCACTAGTCAGCACTCATCTCAACCGTTTTTCAAACAATATATAACCACTTCTGATATTTCTACGTGTTGACTATCTAAACCCGTTTTTATCTCACCTCTTAATCTATATTTCGAGAATCTACATTCACTTACACTCCACTTTTTCACCCACGTGTCGACAAACAATACCTACTTGTAGCGGTCTCGTTTCTCTATGATGTAACCAGTGATGGGTGCTCCGCCGTCAGTTTCTGGCTTCTTCCATTCAAGGTCCACGAAGTCAGTGTCGAAATCAGCGATGTCGACGTCCTTCGGCGAACTTGGAGGATCTGCCGAAGAGGGAGATCAAGAAACATGATTAAAAGGCTGTCTGCATCAAAATTTATATAATCGGAGCTGTGTTACATTAAATATGTTGCGTTAGATTTGTTACATTAGATAATTCAATATATCATTTCTCTTAGCACACATTTTGCATATATTACCCTGGACGAGTTGAGCACTTCCAATAAATATGAAATAATGTTAACTTTGCACCCCTACACGTGCATGTATATATATATATATGTGTGTGTGTGTGTGTGTGTGTGTGTGTGTGTGTGTGTGTGTGGAAAAGATAGTGAAATTCCAAGCGATTTCGTGACTTCTCACATTATCAAGGAACTATAGTTCCTTGATAATGTGAGAAATCACGAAAGCGCTTGGAATTTCACTATCCTTTCACAGTGGTTGTTTTGTATATTCTGATATCACCTGTTTACTGTGATCTTATTATATATATATATATATATATATATATATATATATATATATATATATATATATATATATATATATATATATATATATATATATTATTGTAACCATGAACAAGTGGTATTTAATCAATAACAACACTGCGACTAGCCGGGGGATCGAACCCGTGTTGTTTTAGCCCGCCTCATGGTAAGCGAAAATTCACGACGCCCTAACCCACTGGACCAAACAATTTTACAAGAATCACGCACCCAACAGAGCTAGGTGTTGTACCGTGATCCGAGAACATACGATGGTGTTGGTGCCTCAGAGCTATTATCATTTTACTCCTCGTTTATGTACTAGCTTCCACAAGCAGAATATATAGTATATATACATACATACATTGGTACAGGTTTTTTTTTAAACTTTAAATGATACAGTGGAATAAATGGCTACAAATTAATAAGTACAGTAATTTAAGAATTTACATGCACGCAGAACTGAAAAAATAAAAAAAAATCTTAGATTTAGATTAAGTTGCAGCACCTCGAGTTGGGTAAAATGCCAAGATGCCGAAGGCATTCCTTCTTTGGATTACCACAGCGAGGTGCTAGAAGGAAAAGGCGCGCGCGCGCGGGCGTGCGTGTGTGTGTGTGTGTGTGTGTGTGTGTGTGTGTGTGTATGTATGAAATTTAAAGTAGGATTAATAAATTGATATATGAGCTGTGTATGATGAAATTAGATACAAATATTATCAGCACACCACAGTGTTTCAGGATATGAAATTAAAGTTACTATCATGCTGATGAAGCGAAAAAGTTGTGCTGATAGACTTCAAAACTTACCGAATGGATTCTTGGCTTCGATTGCCTGCTGAGTGACCAGAGGATCGGATGTGCCCAGGCGATTGACAGCCTTAACGCGGAACTTGTATTTGTGTCCAGGTGTGAGTCCCTCTACGTTAAAGGTTGTTTCTTTGCCAGCCGTCTCGCCTGCAGGAACCCAGCGGCCGGTGGCTTCATCCAGCTGCTCCACGACGTAATGATCTATGGGACAGCCACCGTCGTCAGCAGGTGGTTTCCAGTCCAACTTGCAGCCCTCTGCGTACACTTCAGAGACCTTAAGTGGACCCACCGGCGTTCCAGGTTTATCTGTGGAATGAAGTGCATTATGAAGAGCCAGATCTTCGTGGAATAATTTCTGGTTCGTTTGTATCACAGGTGGAATTATTAGAAGCTTGAACGTCTTAGCTATTAGGATACATGTTGCAGTATAATCAATTACATAATTAACAGCATATGCATCAAGTTCAACTTACCAAGTACAATGACCTCTACATCTGCCGAGTCTTTGCCATTGGCGTTCTCTGCCGTAATGGTGTAAGTGCCGCTTTCCTCTCTGGTTGCTCCAGTCACTCGCAGCTTGGTGTTGTAGTCGTTGTACTGATGTTGGTTACGGAGCTGGGTTTGATATCCTTCTTTTTCAGGAGCCACTTCTTTTCCGGCACAGGCTCGCCAGACACGTTGACATCGAAAACGAAACTCTGGCCAGCCTTGATTCTGACGGGAACCAGGTTTGTGCGGTCAATTTTAGGAGGCATGTTCTTTGGCTTGACAGTGACAGGATGAGTGGCATCAGATGGGAGACCAGGACCAGCAGGGTTGACGGCTCGGACTCGGAACTCGTATGTTTCACCCTCAATCAGATCAGGCACAGAGCAGCTTGTCTTATTAGCCGGCACCTCACATGCCTTATCCCACCCGCCGTACTTGTCTTTCTTCTCCACGATGTACTTCTGGATGGGGGCGCCACCGTCGCTCTTAGGCGGCTCCCATTTAAGGTCCACTTTATTTTGGTCGTAATCAGCCACCTGCAAATTTTCGGGCTTGCCTGGTTCCTCTGTATTTAAAGAAATAAATAATAATAAAGTATCCTTGCATATACAGAAAACAATATTTCAACAGTAAGAGAAAAGTTATACACAAAAGAAACATACTTAGAAAACTAACCATAAGGATCCTTGGCTAGAACAGGTTCATCAGCATTGAGAGGACTGGACTCGCCCTCAGCATTGACGGCCCTCACACGGAACTGGTACTCGGTCCCGGGGCTGAGGTTGTTCAGGTCCACTGAGGGCTCAGGCCCGGCCGACCGACCTGCTGGCACCCACAGTCCGGTGTTGGGATCCAGCTTTTCGACTTGGTAGTACTCAATGGGGGTGCCACCATCGTCCTTGGGACGTTTCCACTTGAGCTTGCAACCCGTTCCTCTGACGTCTGACACCTTGATGGGTCCTTCAGGTGGACTGGGTTTATCTGTGACAGTCACACGTACTGTCACCTGGTCTTTACCGGAGCTGTTTGTTGCTGTGATGACATACTCACCAGAGTCACCACGCTCAGCGTCACGGATCACCAGTTTGGAGTTGTAGTCCACATTGGTGATGGTGACATGCCTGCTGGGCTCTAGTTTGCGGCCCTCGAACGTCCACGAGGCGGTTGGAGGAGGCTCGCCAGAGATGTCACAGTCATACTTGAGCATCGAGCCAGCTGAGAGTGTCACGTCACGTAGGTTCTTACGCTCGATCTTTGGTGGCACTGTGGAGGTGCAAATCAAATGTTAATGTTTATTACTGTGTGTATTTCTCTCTCACACCCATGTCTATGTTTACCTTACATTCATCTATTTATTTATTGTTGCACATATTTTACTAATTAGAGGTCATTATATTTATCTATTTAAGAACGTCATTGTGTCTATTACAATTATTTAGTCTTCATTTTTCTCTGCATCAGCTGGTTTTTCTAGGTATGCATCAACAGAATTTCATTCCTAATTGATTAATTCATGTTAAGTGCTAAACCCTCATGGGTCATTAAGCGCAAGTCTTGGTGGAGGCTCGATCCACCGTCAGCTGAGCGCCAGACACACACGCTTCCTAGTCAGCATTTCATTCCTAAATGAAAATGTTGCACTGTATTAATGCCGTCTTCGCCCACCAATCAGGCATAGGTCAATTTATTCTCTATCCCTGCCCCTATCCCTGCCCCTATCCCTGCCCCTGTCCTTGCCCCTATCTCTGCCCCTATCCCTGCCCCTATCCCTGCTCCTATCCCTGCCCCTATCCCTGCCCCTATCCCCGATTAACGTATGAATCACTGAAAACAAGTGCAACATAAAACCAGAGGAAGACTCACGGAATCTTGCTTTAGCAGTAATGGTCTTGCTAGGGTCGCTGGGCTCGCCAGGTCCGGCGCGGTTGACGGCTGTAATGCGGAACTGGTAATCCATTCCCTCGATCAAGTTGGTGACTGAGCCTTTGCACTCAGGCGTGGGAGTCTCACACGCCTTCTCCCAAAGGTTGCTGCCAGGAAAAGAATCACCTCAAGTTGCTGATGTAAATATATACTTATTTCACTTCCAAATTTGAATCATGATTTACTCATTATTTGTTGATAATAAGTAATACTGAATCTCTATGTCCAGGAGAACAGCCACTATTGAAACAAATATTAATGCTTCTATTAGTTATCCTGATGCTCATGAAGCAATGCAGAGTACTTAAAATATATGTAACATGGCATATGGGCACAAGCATTTTGTAAAAAACTCATAGTGGAGTCACCTAGTGATAGTTATCGCAGCTGCTTAATAATTACTTACGTGTATTTGTCCCTCTTCTCGATGATGTAGTGCGAAATAGCAGCACCACCGTCTTCCAGGGGCATAGACCACTTCAGGTCAATACGGTTGGAGTCCCAGTCTGTGGCCTCTGGAGCTCCTGGTTTGCCTGGCACCGTAAAGGGATCCTTGGCCGTGATGGGGGAGAGGGTCACAAGTGGTTCGGATTCGCCCTCTTTATTCACAGCCTTCACACGAAACTCGTATTCGTGCCCAGGAGTCAGGTCAGTAACTTCCATATCTGGCGTGGAAGTCTTGCCCACTGGTAGCCACAGACCCATATCAGGGTCGAACTTCTCCACAACGTAACCTTCAACGGGGGAGCCGCCATCATCCTTCGGAGGCTTCCATTTGAGCTTACAGCCCTCCTTGTGGACATCTTTCACTTCAATAGGTCCCTCTGGTTTACCAGGTTTGGAAATGACGGTGATGGTAACTTCTGCTTCGTCGCGACCATACTGATTTGTGGCCACAATTTTGTAAACACCTGAGTGTTTACGTAATGGTTCGTCGTTGATAAACTTGGTGTTGTATGGGACGTTTTCAATACGGAGATCCTTGGTTTCTTTAAGTGGTTTTTTGCCGAAAAGCCATTCGACGTCTGGTGGTGGCTCGCCAATAATCTTAACGTCAAGAAGGATGGGTTCACCCTCGCGAACCGTCAAGTCGCGAAGGTTACGGCGGTCGATTTTTGGGGCCACTGAAAGAAAACAACATATTTTTACTGACGTGATAACTAAATTAAGTGAAAAATAATAACAAAACTGTGTTGGGATAAAGAACAATGCAAAATTGTGTACTGCGGCGCTAAGTGACAAATCAGAAATTTCGCCCCACTGAGCAAGAATTTTTCAATAGATTCAAATACATAATAACTATAAAATGGCGGAGATTTAAATATCCATAAGAGAAAGTTTGGTACAACCTTTAGGCAACTAGTTATGCAAAATTAACTGCAGCTAAAGCTAAAAATGACAAACTTACATTTCCTGGGTTTGCAAGTGACGGGTTTGCTGGCCTCCGACGGGTCGGAGGGGCCGGCCTCATTCACTGCACGGACTCGGAACTCGTATGTTTCGCCTTCATCCAGGTCATTCACGCGGCCCTTCGGTGTGTCTCCTTTCACTTCAGCAGCCTTGACCCACTTGCCGGTGAGCTCATCACGCTTTTCAATGATGTAGCCAGTAATGGGGGCACCGTTGTCCTTAGCAGGCTTGGTCCACTTGAGCTCCACAAAGTCCTTGTCCCAGTCTGTGGCCTCAGGTTTGCCTGGTGGATCAGGCGGATCGAAAGGATTCTTAGCCACAATGGTGTCAAGACCTTCGAGAGGTTCAGATTCACCTTCACTGTTGATAGCCGAGACACGGAACTTGTACTCGTGATTAGGCTCAAGGTTCTCCACCGCCATCATTGGCTCTCGTGACCTGCCTACTGGCACCCATCTGCCTGTCTCTGTGTCCATCTTCTCGACAATATACTGCTCAATAGGTGCACCACCGTCGTCCAAGGGTTCCTTCCATTTGAGAGTGCAGCCTTCTTTGTGGATATCTGACACCTTCAGTGGACCCTCTGGCTTTCCAGGCTTGTCTGTAATGATTGTTAGTAAGAATAAAATAATTAAAAATGAAAATAATAATAAGAATAAATATTATTAATTATTATATACATGAGCCTTCCATAAAAAGTAATAAGCAAAATATACATGGCATTATCAACTACCATGACAAAATCTGTAGCAGTAAACCACAAGAACTCTGACCTAGTTATTGGTTTATGTTAAATTTAACTAATATTGCTGCACTGAAAGTGCTACGGTAAGCAAAGTTAAACACCGCAAGTTCATGCTTAACACGGTATTTCAGGGCTTCAAAACATGATAGCTAATTTCATTCTCGAATTTTAATGTGTGCTTGAGGAACTTACCGAGCACCACCACCTCAATGGCTACCTCGTCGTGACCGGCAGAGTTGTCGGCCTTGACGAGGAAGGTTCCGTTGTGGGCGCGAGTGCAGCTGGCAATGACGATCTTAGTGCGGTGGTCCTCCTCGTCAATCTTGATGCCTGGCTGATCACCGTCTTGACGAGCCTTGTTGATGAACCACGCTTTCTTGGGGATCGGCTCACCAGTCACGTTGCAGTCGAACTTGATCATCTGGCCAGCACGGACTGTGATGTTCTCCAGATTCGTGCGGTCGATAACAGGAGCCACTGCAGTAAACACAGCAATATGATTACTGATCTTGGTACATATGAAGGCAAGAAACACACACACACACACACACACACACATATGTACATATAATTTTTTACCCAAAGAACCTTAGAAAACTTTCCTAACTTTATTATAACAAGCGCAATTTAATTTAGCCTAATCCAACTAAATATATTTTAGATAAGTTTACAATAATTTAATAATAAACAAACACAATGAAATACACTTCATCGTTAGGTTCAGAATGATTTTTGCGAAATTATTGCATACACAAATTATCGCTTGTCTTATTCGGCAAGAAAAGCGTTGCTATTTAAGCTAAAATCGCAAGTTTTATCTATTCGGCACTACATTTATATTTATATTTATCTATCTATCATATAATATATATATATAATATATATATATATATATATATATATATATATATAAACTATATATATATATATATATATATATATATATATATATATATATATATATATATATATATATAATATATAGCTGGAATGGGGACCCTCATCCTCAGAGAAGACAATAAACGTATATATATTATAATACGTGAGAGAGTTCGGGGTTCACGCCCCTGCCGGTCTGTGACCATATATATGGATATATAAATGGATTTTAAGTAACACTAAGTCAATTTAGACGTCTATTATATATTTAGTAGAATTTCATTAAACAAATACGTTAGGTTAGGTTAATGAGGATTTCAAGTTGGATACAAAACTAAATTATTTTACGCCATTTAAATTATTTTTCTACTAATCCCTAAAATAAAATTCGGGAGAAGTCCAATTTTTAGGGGAGTTCTTAAGAAAGTGAAGCTGAACATCTGGTGGTGAACCAATTCTTAAATTGACTTATTTTTAAGAAACTGACAATGATCATTATTATGCATTTTTTTACCATAATGAAAGATACGTCTAACAATATTGTATACACATAGCTAAAGTAAACTTGAGAATTAAAACAACTACTTGGAATTATCCAGTTGCGCAAGATGTTACTTACGGAATTTGGCCTTCGCGGTGAAGTTGTCGGAAGGCTCTGAAGGCTTGCTCTGGCCAGCTTTGTTGACAGCCTTCACACGAAACTGGTAGGTCTCTCCTTCGGTAAGGTCATTGACCTTGCCCTCGGGCTTGTTGCTCTTGGTCTCACAGTGCTTGACCCATTTGGCAGCGTATTTGTCTTTACGTTCAATGATGTAGTGGCTGATGGGGGCGCCACCATCATTATCTGGTGGGTTCCACTTCAGTTCACACCACGTCCTGTCGAAGTCCTTCACCTCGGGTTTACCAGGCTTGCTGGGCGGGTCTGCAACATCATGATTGAACTAGTTAACTACTTATCCTTGAAGGATTTACCAAATAAACCAATGCAACTATTGGTATATTATTCAATCGAGGACTTACGCAATGAACAACTGACCACATTATTAATGTATCCAATTTTGTTAAATAAAATAAATACACAATAGAAACAAAAAGTGTGTAAAATACAATAAAAATTTATTATAATCTGCTCGGTGTTTCTAATTCTAAGTTTTCTCTTCCTCTTCACACTCTTCTCCAGAGTAACAAATGTACATGGGAAAATTCGACCACCATTCACTGAAACTAAATCTGATATACAAGAAACTCGTAAATTTTAAACATAATATCGACTGCAACTTTTACAATAAACATTAAGGTAAACATCAAACGAATGAACACTTTCTCTCTATACCATATAGAAAACCACTTTCACTTGTGTCCACAATATAAATTTACAGAGTAAATAATAACGAAACAAATAATTAAAGAATAAATTTATTGAAATACATAGACCACGTACATCTCCATACATACACAGAACACTTACCTCTGCATGCATACAGAGAACACTTATCCCTGCATACATACACAGAACACTTATGCAGAACAACCACTGTGAAAAAATAGCGAAATTCCAAGCGCTTTCGTGACTTCTCACATTATCAAGGAACAGTGGTTGTTCTGTATTTTGTGATATCAACTGTTTACTGTGATCTTATTGCATAGAACACTTATTCATACATGCATACATAAACACTTACGTTAACAGACGTAAAATACTTTCATACATTAACACATCAATTACATACCTGCATTCATATACTTTCTAATACATATTCTCAAAATACACCACACGAAAAAACAAAACTTTAATCGATCAGACACATGGAATTAAGCTTCTAAGGATAAATTTAAATTCCCATACAAACACAGAAGCCACAGATCAAACCCTTTAAGATCAGAACAAGATGAACACATTGGTACACACCCGTCCTCACACAAGCAATTCCCATTCAAAAGCAGCAACACTTACCGAAGGGATTCTTGGCCTTGATGGCCGTGTCGGTCTCCAGGGGCTCCGACTCGCCTTCAGAGTTGACGGCCCTGACGCGGAAGTGGTAGTCGTGGCCCTCAGTGAGTCCAGGAACCTCAGCCTCGGGAGACTAAAAACACAGAGAAAGGCATCAGGAGGCTGTTCCCAGTGACAACAGTGGAATAGAGTTAAGAAATTTATTGAATAAAGCAGTTAGAAGTGGAAGCTGAGGAGGAAGTAGAGAGAAGAACAAGCTGAGAAGGAAGTAGAGAGAAGTAAAAGCTGAGGAGGAAGTAGAGAGAAGTAAAAGCTGAGGAGAACGTAGAGAGAAGAAGTAGAAGCTGGGGAGGGGGGCAGAGGAAGTAGAGGCAGAGGAGGTCAGATTCAGTATATTATAAATTATTATATTCATAAGGAAGAGCGCTAAACTCGTAGGGATCATATAGATCATATGAGAACCCTTCACCGGCGTCAAGGAACTCCACATGACGGGAGAGGTTTAAGATGAGGAAGGAAGGAAGGAAGGAAGGAAGGAAGGAGGTGGGATGGCGTCTTGGCTCACCTTGGTTTCCTTCACCGGGACCCAGCGACCAGTCTCCGTGTCCATGCGCTCCACCACGTAGTGGTCAATAGGCTCTCCGCCATCGTCCTCCGGGGGTTCCCACTTGAGCTTAGCGGACTCCGCCGTCACGTCGGATACCTTCAGTGGACCCTTGGGTTTGCCGGGTTTGCCTAAGACGAGAACAACAACATGGGTTCCGTCAGGTTCTCGATTAGGTTCTTAATGTTTGATGGTGACAGTTTCATTTTTTAGGTTAAAATAGTTAAACGTGAGAGTGAACAGGTACTAATTTGTTACACAAATAACCCGCACATAAAAGAGAGAAGCGGGTTATTTGTGTATCGTTCCAGTCACGGTATTGTGCCTTTTTTGTTATTAATTTGTTAATGTGAATATTTGCAACAGGTTCGCGGCCCTGTTACAGTCATGTAAAAGTCATGTAACACACAGACCATTACATAGGCCCTTCCAGAAGGCATACAGGTAAACGGGATAACAAACAGGTGGTCATGACTTACCAACAGATAAACAGTCACTCACAGATTATAAACAACAGGTCAATACAGGTACTCACAATTCAAGATAGACAAACACGGTAACATAAGCCCTCGTATAGGAAGAAATGCAAAGATATTGCAAGATTTAGGTATCTTTATATTAGAACCTAAGACAAGAGGAACACTGCAGCAGGCTTAATGGCCCATGAAAGGCAGGTTCTTCTCAAAATCAGTTATTCCCACCCACCTATTTGTCCAACTTTTTCCCAAAACTACAAATACTTCAGGTTAGCAGCTCAATATAGATCCTAGAACAAGACAAGTAATCAGCGGAAAACTAGTTCTCTTAGAGGAAGGCAGGTAAACAGCTTAACAAGCAAATAATTTACGCATGCACACATGTAAATAATTTGGTATTCTTACATTATTATTTACCGTAACTAGTAGAGTTATATTTAAAGTTGTTAATATGTCTGCGGAAATATCTTTCTTTGTAAGAAAGCCTAGAAAATTTCTCGAGTTTTGCTATAATAACATTTTTCTCTATCATTTTTACATTTGTATAAGTTTATATATTTGCATATTATTTGTGGTGTTGAGAGAGTGACATAGTTGTCGCCTGGTATACTAACAACTGTATAAAAAGCAGTGGACGTTGCTAAGTCTCTTCACCCCCTCACCCTCACTTGCTAAGAATGAGATGCAATTGGCGACTGCTGTCCACTCGAGCAGAAAAAACTAAGTCACTTGTCTCCAGAAACACTACTTCACATGCAGACGTCTGTTTATCAAAGAATCGAATTTGGGCTTAGATTTCCTTTGTTGTCCTATGCCTGAAGACTATCCATATTTGTGAACTGTTCCTTTTCAACGACATGTGGATATATTTGCTTCAAGGATTGGTAGTCACTCAGACTTCAGCTTAGAATATTCAGTAAACACTGCTACACTCTCATGAACACTCCCCTCCCTCGAGGGAGTTCCCTTGATGTTGCTGATGAGAGGATCTTCATCTAAGAAATTAGACCTGTACTCCAGTGCCTTGAATTGAGCCTGAATGTCTTCCGTTTCCCCAGAGGCTATATAACCCCCGCAGGTTTAGCGCTCCCCAAGAATGAAATGATAATCTCATTAACACTTGACTCGCATGATCTCGTTATGTACACAGTATCAGCACTTGGTTCTGTGTGAATTTACTGTGTCCAGAATTTGCAACATAGCTACAGTGGAGTGCGTTTGTGACAGTCCTGTGTTTTCAGACTGTGTGCTTACGTGTAGTACATTGTCTTGGGATTTATTTAGATTCAGTTTACATGTTATTCTTACGAACTCTTATTTATGCTCTGTCTCTGTCTACTTAGTGAGTGGTCTTAATATTTACTCTTTCTTGTGGATGCGGCTTATTCTAGGATTAAATGAATATTGTTTCTGATTGGTCTTGTCGGTGTTTACACACTATTTTATGTGGATATAGCCTTGAGCAGTTGCTATCCGAACATGCATATGTACCGTGCTGATTTTGGGTTGTATATAGGTGAGTTAAACACTTTGTTACTTGTATGCGTTTGTAGAGTTAGCTTATATTAACATTTTTGTGTTCTATCATGTAATAATTCCTTATTCTTCAGATACGGAAAATATAATTGTACAAGAAATCTTCACTCACTAATGAACAATAGATTTTACACTTCATGGATTAGTAAATCCCTAGACTGGAGACTAGAAGTAAAATTTTCTTTTTCTAACCATGCGATGGCTTGCCTACAGCAAGCCCTGCTTTGAAAGCATACCTCACAACAGGGAAGAATATGTTAGCAGGGGAACACAAGAGCACTCATAAAGGACCGATAGGTATCCCGACCAACATAGTCACTCAGAGGAAGACAGGTAAACAGAAACACAAACATAATTATCTGTATGAATACAGGAGAAAACAGAGACTCATTGCAATTCAGTTATTAACCATACAGATAAACATACAAGCACGTACCACGGACAGACAGGTAAACAGGCTATTACAAAAGCACTCACCAATCACTACAAGATCCAGCTCGGCCTCGTCAGTGCCAGAATCGTTCTTGGCAAAGATCTTGTAGATGCCGGTGTCTGAGCGCTTGGCCTTCCTGATGATGATAGTGGTGAGGTGGTCCTCGCTCGTTATGGTCACCCGCTCGTTCTTGATGGACTCACCCTTAAGACTCCAGGTCACCTTGGGGTCGGGCTCACCCTCCACCTTGCTCTCGTTTTTGAAGGTGATGCCTGAGCGGATGGTCTTGCGCCCCAGGTTCTTGCGATCGATGCGCGGTGCCACTGACGAAGTAAGAATTAGAGTTAAGAACAGGTGAAAGCTGGTAGTTATCAGCCATCGTCTACAAATTCACATCAGCCCTTCTAGGGTAGGGTAGGTGCCTGAGCCCGAGCTTGCAGCTCACAAGCCTCTCATTCCCATTAGGCCCCTTGGGGCGGGGATGGCAGACCAGAGAGGCCTAGCTTGTGGCTAGGCCTGGGGACAGTTGGTCCCAAAGATGAGGAGGTACTTGTGCCTCCTCCCATGGGAGACTTAGGTCTCAGACACTCCCTAAAGAGGGAGCCAAGGCCGGGCCACCACTTGGAAAAGGCCCGGGCCGGGAGAATACCGGTGAATCTTTAATAATAATAATAATAATAACACTGTGAATGACTAAAAATATAACCCAGACCCCAAAATCTTGTGATTAGTTGTTACTAAGGTATAATAGTATTTAGAAAAAGCAAATCATGAACAGTTATAACTAACTGGACGTAAAACCTTATATAAAACTCATTTAGCAGAGAACTATTCTTGACTTACAGAATCTTGGTTTGCAGATGACGGACTCTGAAGCATCGGAAGGCTCAGAAGGTCCAGCTTTGTTCTCAGCGATGACGCGGAACTGGTACTCGTGGTCAGGTTCCACATCTGTGATGCGGAGGGAGGTGCGGTTACCAGGGCCACTCCCGCACGGTGTCCACCCACGACCAGTCTGAGGGAGGTGAAGACAATGGTGGGTCACATTGGTTACTGTGTCACGGTGAAAATGTTTGCGCGACGTCACACCCAGCGAATTTAATTTGCAAAAGACAGAAACTCCAGAGAAATTTGGACTTGTAACTCACACCACTTTTGATCGATAATTAAATACTGGGATATTTATTTTCGTTTTATAATGTGTCTACGCATGCATGCATGTGTGTGTGCATTCATACGTGCTGTTGTGTGTGTGTGTGTGTGTGTGTGTGTGTGTGTGTGTGTGCACGCGCGAGCACGCTCGAGCTCACTCGCATTTCCAGCACTTAGAAGTCGGTTATACTCACCACATCTCGCTTTTCGACGATGTACTTGGTGATCTCCGCTCCACCGTCGTCCTTAGGCTTGGCCCACTCCAGCTCCACAAAGTCGCGGTCCCAGTTGGTCGCCTTGGGTTTGCCAGGCTTGCTGGGGGGGTCTGCAGAAAACACTCAGACGTGTAGTTTTTTTTTTTGCACATTTAGTTTCATAAAATATAAAATATTTTTTGAAACATTATCTGCCAATTTCAAGTATCCCTATTTTTCATATAAAAAAAAGAAAGGTGTACAGACGATTCTTAAGAGTATAGAGTGACTGGTTGACAATGCATCAAGCATAGAAGAATCCGTATTATCTTCCCCTGTTGAGGAACTCACCGAAGGGGTTCTTAGCGATGATAGCCTTGTCAGCCTCGAGGGGCTCGGACTCGCCCTCAGGATTAACAGCCTTCACGCGGAACTTGTACTTCTTACCCTCTTGTAGTCCAGTTACGTCAAACTCTGGGGTCTTGGACTCGCCACAGGGCATCCATTGGCCAGTGATGGGGTCTAGTTTCTCGATCTGAAGAGACAGTTCCACACATGTGTTAAATCTCTCCAGGTGGATTTGAAAAAAAACTACTCACTCTAATCCCATCAAGGGTTTATTCTGATGAAGGGTTCTCGATCCAAGGAACTAACGTTATCCTCGTTTCTAACAAACGAAACCTGATTATTATCCATTACCCAGGCAATGGGTAATGGATAATAATCAGCAATAATACTGCTGATTATTATCCATTATCCAGCAATGGGTAATGGATAATAATCAGCACTAATATTGCTGATTATTATCCATTATCCAGCAATGGGTAATGGATAATAATCAGCCATAATACTGCTGATTATTATCAATTATCCAGCAATGGGTAATGGATAATAATCAGCAATAATACTGCTGATTATTATCCATTATCCAGCAATGGGTAATGGATAATAATCAGCAATAATACTGCTGATTATTATCCATTATCCAGCAATGGGTAATGGATAATAATCAGCAATAATACTGCTGATTATTAACCATTATCCAGCAATGGGTAATGGATAATAATCAGCCATAATATTGCTGATTATTAACCATTATCCAGCAATGGGTAATGGATAATAATCAGCAATAATATTGCTGATTATTAACCATTATCCAGCAATGGTAATGGATAATAATCAGCAATAATACTGCTGATTATTAACCATTATCCAGCAATGGGTAATGGATAATAATCAGCAATAATACTGCTGATTATTAACCATTATCCAGCAATGGGTAATGGATAATAATCAGCAATAATACTGCTGATTATTAACCATTATCCAGCAATGGGTAATGGATAATAATCAGCAATAATATTGCTGTTGTTTTAGTTACAAGAGTAACTAAAACAACAGCAGCAAAAGCAACAACAACAGCAGCTACAAGAACAACAGATTAAACAGAAGAATAAACAAATATTTTAAAAACATTAATTTGAACAAAATTTGCAATTACAATATTTCCATTTAATTCAGAGACAATTATAAAAGAAACGCTTGAGAAAATATGTAGCTACGTATGACTCTTGAATTATAACTATTATAATTACTCTGAAATAATCCGAAATAATTACAAGAAAATAATTTTTCTGTAAAGTGTTGACACAGCAGTGAAGTGTGAGACAGTGTAAAACAGCAGTGAACTGTGAGAAATGAAAGTGAAGTGTATGGATGTAATGTGTGCCGGTATATTGTAGCCTATCTGAAGCAACTTTATATAATTGGCATATAAACTTTTTGGTATATGTAATTTAATCGGATAATTGCTAACATGTAGCAATATTTCACCGGGTTTACTCAGTGGGGACGTGAACTGTTGTGTGAGTAACTAAGTTAATTAACACGTCACATGAAAAACACTTTTCCTTAGAAAATGTTCTCAATGAACCATACATGTTGCATTGTATAAACTGCAGCATTTGCTTCACTCATTCTGGTGTTATTTAATTTTAATATTAAGTACAGTCTCTCACACCCTGAAGCTGCTGCTGTTGTGAAGCTGTATCTCACGTGCTCAGTCTCTTGCTGCCCTTTACCCTTTCACCATCCACTGCTCCGCTGTTATCCGTAACCTATTACTCATCCACCTCCCTTTTGCCACCTGATGCCCTCGCTTCCTTCCTGCCCTGCAGCGCTGTATAGCCCTTGTGGCTTAGCGCTTCTTTTTGATTATAATAATAATAATGTATCTCACGTATATGTATGTGGCACTACAGCGCAGCATGAAAGTTGCGAGGGTCCTCTCCACCCAAGGTTGAAAGTCGTGTCTCCGCCACTCTACCATACTGTCCTCTCTGTCCAGTCATTAACACAACTCTCTAAGTTTCACTAGCAATTATGGACGTTTTTACAGAGAGGTCATTACAAAATTTTGATGTAAGCTAGAAATTGCTATAAAATTATTTCATTTCATTTCATTATACTCTCGTTAAACTTCAATTTTTAGCTATTTATTAACACATGGTGTCTCTATGGTGCTCTAAACACCGTAGAGAGAATAACGAATTGTGAGACACAGTAGTAAGGCGTGAGACGACAGAGAAGGGTGAGACACAGTGGTAAAGTGTGATACACAATGATGA